GGTTTAAGCTACTGAAGCTCACTGAGTGCAACAGTTTTCATAACGCTTGCATTATGTATAATGTAGTATACAAACTAAATACCAGGCTCTCCAGTCTCATCCCAGTGACCTCTGCCCCTCACTGTCACAACACTAGAGGGAAACCCTTACTGCGAGGGAAAAAGCGCAAGCTGAAGTGCACTAGTTTTAGCGTAGCATGCAAGGGCCCTGAGATCTGGAATGAGCTTGACAACTCCATAAAAGAATCATCTTCTCTGAATGTTTTTAAAAATAATCTAAAGTGTAAACTACTGCTGCATTATGCATAATGCAACCCTCTATAGCAGACAACCATTTACTATTTTATTTGGTCTTGTCCCGGTTAGATCTGAGTGAATGAGCACTAACGCGTACGTAAGGTTTTCATTTCATTTCTTGTATGTTATTGCAGAACTGATGTGAGTGTGTTGAAGCGGACTGTATATGTTTGATAGACATGGTAAGGCATGACTGCTACTGGCAGTCTGAAAATGCATTGAACTGGGGAGGGGGGGTGGGGGGGTGGGTTGTGGGAGACTGTTTATTTTATTTTGTTGTCCTGTTCTTTCGACATGTGAATGTTATTGGGGCCCCTATATATAAGCCAAGTTGTGCTTCATGGGAGTCCCTTCACAAACCTAATTGTCTAATTGTAAAAGATGTGGATTCAACTCATGTTTGTGAACAAATAATAAATAAATAAATAAATAAATAAATCTACAAACTTACCAAAATGTTGTTGTGTCCTTAGGCAAAGCACTTCACCCTCGTTACCCAGTGTGTTTGTGTGTGTGTGCGTGCGCATAATTGTTGTTGGTCAGAGGAGCAGATGGCACAGATTAATCAGCCTCAATTCAGTCAGTCAGTACCAGGGCAACTGTGGCTATTGTTGTAGTTTAGCACCACTATGTATGGAGTGAGTGACTACTTCCATAAAATAAAACAATGCATTATGCTTATGCGTATCAGTGTTATAAGAATTTTCTTTGCCTAATGGAGCAAACAAGCTATAAGACTGGCATACATATGAATATTCATGACATTTCTTAAAATTACACACAATATATATTATCATTATCGTTATGATTATTATTGTTTATTATTTCCTAATCAAAACATTCCTGAGATGGTTTGTTATTTATTTCAGGAATGTAGATAGCTACTCTTACCTCCTGAACCGAGTCCTTCTGGGGAAATAAAGGGAATAGGTCCTCAGTAAGAATGTTAAAAACAAAAGCATATTAAAATAATAGTTTGTGTTGGTGCATGTAACATGTTTTGACCTGAATTGTGTAGCGAGACTATTTCTTTTAAACATGTAAAGCTGGTACACCAGTATATTTAAATGTTTTACTTTAATCTCTGTGATAGCCTAGTCTTACCATCACATATAGTACTCATTTCCCCAAGTGAGCTACCATTTAGCATTTAGCCTAGCTTTAGCCATCTCCTTTGCCAGCGGCCATCTTTCTGTGGACCCACCACCTGCCGGAGGATCAGCGAGGGTCTGGACTTTGTAAAACTTGCTATATAAATAAAGTGGACTGGATTGGATTGGATAAATATAGGTTATGTGTTTCTGTCAAACATAAACATTTGAAAAGGGAGGTGTACTTTATTAACGTGCTTTTGGTTAGTTTTCTGAACATGCTTTCATCTGGAAACATCTACCTATCAATTACAAGATGGGGCCAATTTTAACTGCCATATGAACAGTAACGGGTGATGCCCCATTTTTATCAGTAATGTTTTTGTTGCTAGACCAGTCCTTTGGCTCCAGTACTGCATGTTTATGGATAACAATGAATTAGATTTAAAACGTCGGAACCTCACATGCTTTCTCTTTAATAATGCAGTTGAGGTCCAGATGGCGACCACCTTTGTCATGGTCTCGTGGTTTTCTCCTTTTTAGCAGATAAGCTCCAATTAACTGATCTTAAGAGTCTATAATCACTTCCACCATTTTACTAAATAACTCTGTAAAATGATCTTTAGACACAGGTGTTCAGGATTCAGCTTCTCTACTTAAGTATGGTCTCACTTACAATGCAGTCTCCACATTTTGTCTCATCACAAACATAGATATCTGTAATAACTGCATTATTTAAAAATCTTGCAGATGTATTAAGTGCATTAAGTTATTAATGTTGTGGAACCACTGTTTCCTCCGATTACAGTGTCCAGTTTTGGAGTATGACTCTAAAAGCATTATATCTCGAGATTTATATATTTTTTGATAATAATTCTTTGCATAACAGCTCAAGCTCTTGTCGTTAGAGAGTTTTTGTCCATTGGATTTAGGTCTCACCCATAGATACACTGTTCCAATGAAAGGCTTCATATTTAAGGACATTGTTCAGATAGAAGCTGGATGTCTACCCAAGGCCTAAAGGCTTTTGCAGACATCTTTGGGGCCTTGGGTGATGATACCTCTACAATGATTCCCATGATTTTAATCTATTCACCTTCCTAAAAATAAACTCTGATACTCTTAGCTGTCCCTGCTGAAAACAAGCAACCCCACAGCATGGTGCTGCCACCATCAGGGTTGACAGTGGGATGTGGTGAGTGGAGTGATGAGCAGTGTTAGTTTTCCACAAAGTGTTTTGCCAAAAGTTATTTTTCCTTTCATCTGACCACAGAATTTTCTTCCACATGTTGGATGTGTCCCCTGTTTGGCATTCTGTGGCTTTTTGTTTGCTTCTCTTCTCTAAAGGACAGATTTGTGTAGTGCTGGACTAATATTTGCCCCATGTACAGATTCCCCCAGCTCAGCTGTGGATGGCTGCAGCTCCTTCTGAGTTACTAAGGGCTGCAAAGTTGTACAAGACTAATATAGCAAACCAATATATTTTCCCTTTCAGAACAACTTTCTTATGTTTGCAGGGTATTCTTTTAGCAGGGCTGACGTATTGGTTTGATGGCCCACTGGAAAACAACCCAGTTAATTGCTGCGATTTCTAAAAGACAGAGTCCAGACCGGGTCTAGATTTACTCCAGATGACCACACACAGTTAAGGACTCAGGGGCAGGAGTCGAATCCTGAGGGAGCATGGGGTCATAAACAAGGACACTCAGGACCCTCCCTGTGAGTAGATTAGCACTGTTTTAAATTGTGTAGGAGACTATTTGAGCTGTGAGAAATCTGTGCTGTTTGGTGTTATGTTTGTTAATAGCTTAAATATTTGAGCATTGAAAAACTAAAGTCAAATGAGTTGAAATTTGACTTCCATAATCCATGTTTATATGCTGTGTTTTTGAGGTGTCCTTTGCAGATGCATGAGGGTCTAAGGACAGTGAAAATCCAGGACACTCATGGACATTTAGAACATGTATTAACATTTTCGGACATTGGCCATCCCACTACGGACCAACTACTTCTATGTTTGTTTTAATATTTCTTTTCTTTCTTTCTGTTGTTGTGAATTAGGGCGGTACAAAAATAAATTCAAATGAATTAAATTGATTGCTAATATCAAGGTTACAGTTCTTTTCTGAATAATTAGTGGGTGACCTATGTCAAGATGAATTTCACTGTGACTTGGAGAAGATTACATTTTTCATCTTTAGTCCCTATAGCCCAGGTGTAAAGATGCCATTAAAATCCATCAACTTTCAGCAGCATACATTTATAACATTATTATAAATTCAAAAAAGTATAAAATAGCTTGTATAACAAAAAAGAGATCATTTAAAACTTACAGACTTCTCAAATCCCAAACACATTCATAAAAGTGATTCTGACTGACTGCCTCTTTCATTGAGTTCCACCAATAAACCAAGAATGTGGAGATAAAAGCTGCAGGTATGTCCATTAATACTTAATTTCTCCGTAAAAGTCAAGGAACAGCTGCAAATCAAAGCTGAGCTTGGGTTTATTCAAGTTCACAAAAAGAACATTTGTTGATCTGCTTGGTTTAAGTCATGTATGAATTTGCATCTGCATATAACTCCACCGCAAGCGTAAACATAGGTTCTGCTCCGAACGCAGAACAATCAGCAAACACAGGTTTTATTTTTCTATGTAAAAATGCCTGCAATGCTAATAAATCAATCATGCATCTCTGGTTATACTTGTTTTTTTGTTCGCCGGACATAGTAAATAAAGAACGATGGGCGTGTTGCTGTGGTCACAAGCGCCAAAGGGAGAAATAGTGTCTGGGTTGTAGAAGAATATTGCCAATTGCATGAATCACTGAATATAACTGAGTATGTCAACGAGAAGAGGCTAAAATCATTGGCACCTCTTTGAAAAAGAGGTTCATTATCTTTATATTCTTTCCTGGTTAAATGGAAGTTAAATAAAATAATAATAATAATAAAAAAATATATATATATATATATAAATATGTCCAGAGAAACACATGGATTTATGAATACTTAACACTTGTATACAGCTTTGTGTTGGCTTCCAGTTCATCACTTCTCCGTCAGTTTGTACATTATGGGGTGATTGTGTTTCGCCTCAGAGGAGCAGTGAAACTGAAGCTGAAGCTTCTGTGGACGCTCACACGATGACAGACACATGCGCAGGGATCTAACCTGAACAATGTAACAACATATTACAGGCAGTGCTTTTGTTGCAGAAGAAAGAAAACAGCTCTTTCCAGGACGACATACACTGCAAACAAATTATATAATTAATATTGTATTCCATAATACAACATAAGGTAATTTTATGCTTGCACAAAGTGGTTTTATTTATCACCTTAAATGGAGTTAAACAAGTTACTACAGTCCATTTAAATAGATGTGTTTGATTAAACCGGTTTGAATAATGGAGCTTTCGCAAAAGTTCACTGTGGTAGACCCGGCTGCTGCTGCCAGGCCACAGGCTGCTCTTCCTCGACTCATCAATACCAGCAACGCCCACACCCAGTCAACCAATAACCACCAGGACAGCAAGTTAAAAGCCGGAGACGCCCACTTCCCGGTCTTCTGAAGTCTGCAAGTGTATGTTAGCTGAAACGCATCTATCCACCATGCAATCTTCGCCCCATGCTCGTGCGTCCCCGTCTGTTTCGGGCTCGACGCGTAGCTCTTTGAACGACTTGTTCATTCCCCCCTCGCCTGTGCCCGACCGGTCCCGGAGGAGCGCCGGCCTGGCGTCCCAGGATGCTGGTTCCGTTCGCACCTTCCTCGCGGCCCGCGGCGTCGTGCCAGGTCCGGGTGCAACCCCGCTGCAGCTCCAGCGCCTCGTGGAGCAGCTGTCGGCGGATTCTGCCTCCCCCCCCCCGGCTCCGGTCTCCCCTCCTCGCAAGCGCCGTGGCAAGGCCAGGCACCTGCAGCCAACGCGCGCCTGCCCCCCTTCCTCGGCGCTCGACGGGCCCCTGCTTCCCCCGGCTTTGTTGGCCTGCCCCGTGCCCGCCCCAGCGCCTTGCCTCATCGACGTCTCCCGGGCCGCCCCTGCGGTTCCCGGTTTGCCCCCTCCCCAGCCGGATCCTTTTGCTGCGGCCTTCGCGGCCCACGTGGCAGCTGCGGCTCAGGACCGTGACCTCCTCTGCGCGCGCACGGACGCCATCCTGTTGGCGGTGTCATCTCTCCAGAGCTCGGTGGCCGCAGTGTCCGGCCGGCTCCGCGCTGTCGAGTCCCACCCTCCCACCCCCGCCGTGGCTCCGGTGGCTGCTCCTGCCGCTGCGCCTCCCGGCGGCTCCCCGGATATCGGCTTCTCCCTCTCCTCTGCCGTGGCTACTGCTGCGTCAGGTAGGCCTTTCATAAATGCCTATTCCAACGTCTCCCCGCGCCTGCGGACCAAGATTCTGCTAGGACGCTATATAAACTTGGTATATAACCTGTGACAGGCAGGTGGCGGCCTCCTCCCTGGTCACCGCGGTCGTCAGGGCTGCTGATCCCCGCCTGTCGCGGGAATTGTCCATCGGGGAGTTCCTCGTGGCCTTCGGCGTGTACCGCGACGTTCTCTGCTCCGTATACCCCGAGCGCAGGCCCGAGCTGGACGCCTATCTGGGCCTGATGGGGGATCTGGCTCTCCGCTACGGCGGTAGCGATTTCTACCGCTACCATCGGGCCTTCGCCGCCAAGGCCGCGGCCCTCGTCTCCCAGGCAAACGTCAGGGTGGACTGGGCGGTCATGGACACCGAGGTCTTGCTGCTGTCCGTTGGCGGTGCCCCCGTGGTCTCCTGCTCCCGATGCGGCGCTGCCGGGCACAGCTCTCCCCTCTGCCCCTCTGTTCCGTTCGACACCGCCACCAGTCAGGCTCCTAGGCCCCGCGCGCCTTCGTTCCCCAAAGAGGAGGTACGTCGTCAGAACCCCGTGTGCCGCTCTTTCAACACCGGCGTATGCAGTTTTCCATCGTGCGCCTACCTCCACATTTGTGATCTGTGCAGGGAGGCCCATCCACGTTCCGTGTGCCCGCGTCGCCCCCGGCAGGACCGCCGTTCCGGGGAGCCTTCGTACAGGCCTTGATCACCACCCACCTCTCAACCCCTGTCTCCGTGCCCGCGCTGGCCCACGCGCTCACGCTCCATCCTGATTGGGCCTTCGTTGGTTTCCTGCTGACAGGCCTGGCCCGGGGCTTCCATGTTGGCGTGGCGGCTCTCCCCTCGGCGTCCTACGTGTCCCGCAACCTGCAATCCGCTCTCCGCGAGCCCCTCGTCGTCACGCGGCTCATCGCGCGGGAGGTGTCCAAGGGCTACATCATCGGCCCCTTTTCCAAGCCCCCCTTTTCCCCGTTTCGCTCCAGCCCGCTGGGGGTTGCCACGCGTAAATATTCCGGGAAGAAGCGCCTTATTTTTGATTTATCCCACCCCCGCTCCGGGCCCGTCCCGAGCATTAACAGTCTCATCCCTCTTGAGTCTTTCTCCCTGCAGTACGCCACCGTGGATCACGCAATCCGGCTGGTGAAGGCCTTCGGCCCTGGGTCCTGGCTGTCAAAGGCGGACATCACGGACGCCTTCAAGCTGCTGCCCATTCACCCCGATCACTGGCACCTGTTCGGGGTAAAGTGGCGCTCCAGTTTTTATTTTGCTGCGCGCCTCACGTTTGGCTGCAGGAGCAGTCCTTCCTTATTTAATAACTTTTCCGAGGCCTTGTGCTGGATTCTGTTAAACAATGTCCGGCTCCCCTCTGTCCTCCATCTCCTAGATGACTTTCTCCTCGTCGACCCCCCCGCGGACGGCTCCGGGGACTCGCTCCGTAGGCTGAAGTCGGCCTTCTCGGCCTTCGGGGTCCCCCTGTCCGAGGAGAAAACCGTGGGCCCTGCCACCGCCCTGGAGTTCCTCGGCATCCGCCTCAACACACGCGCCATGGAGGCCTCCCTCCCGCTGGAGAAGCTCCTGCGCGTGCGCGCTGTGTCACAATCTGCCCTATCCTCTCCCTCCATCACGAAGCGCGAGCTGCTCTCTCTGCTCGGGCACCTCAACTATGCCATCCGCATCATTCCCCAGGGCCGCTCTTTTATTTCACGTCTTCTCACCCTCGCGGGTTCGGTTCCCTCCCTGCACGACACGCTCACCCTGGACGACGGGTGCCGCTCCGACCTGGACTTCTGGTCGCGCCTGCTGGACTGCTGGAACGGCATTTTGTTCTTTTATGACGATATCGTCCGGTCCTCCGACGATCTCCGTTTCTACACGGACGCTGCCCCTTCCTTGGGTTTTGGGGGATTCTATCAGGACGAGTGGTTCGCCGGGCCGTGGCCCGCTACTTTTCCCCGGAGCATCTCCTCGGCCTTACACGAAATCTACCCCGTGGTCGTGGCCTGCGCGCTCTGGAGTCATACGTGGCGGAGAAAAAGGATCTCTGTCATGTGTGATAATCTCGATGTAGTGGAAGCACTAAACAAAGGTTGCTCTTCGTCACCCAACATAAGGTCCTTTCTCAGACGCATCACTTGGCTCTCCGTTTTAAACAATTTCATTATCACTGCACGCCACGTTCCCGGTCACCTTAACCAAATCGCTGACTGCCTTTCTTGTTTTAAATTTCAGGAGTTCCGGCGCCTCTGCCCCTCAGCCTGCACGAAGCCACGCGCAATCCCGACCATGGATCAACTAACCCTGGATTAATTTCACCTTCCCTCTCTCACCTCCTCTCCTCTGCTTCATCCTCCATGAAAAAGGGCCTCTCCCCCTCTACCCTGTCTACATACAGCTCCGCTTGGAGAGCCTATTCCCTCTTCTGCCACGCTCACAACATTTCTTCGTTACCTCCATCTGTATCTACTGCCATGGCTTTTATAGTACACTGCTCGGACAATCTCCATTACAAAGTAACTTACATCCGTACGCTGCTCTCTGGCATTCAGTTTCAGGCCCGCTGTCATAACCCCGCTTTCTCCTCTCTATTCTCCGAACCCTCCATCAAACTCCTCATCAAAGGCATTCACAAATGTACTCCCCACTCTTCTGATCACAGGCTCCCCATCACGCTGCCCATCCTGGAACAGCTCTGCGCCACACTGAACTCTGGCTCTCTTTCCAAGTACACGTCTGCCCTCCTTCGCAGCGCGTTCCTGCTCGCCTTCTATGGCTTTCTCCGCATAAGCGAGTTCACCACTGCTCACTCAACTTTTAATGTGGCCCTAGACATTGCTTTTTCCGATCTGTCCTACTACCCTGACCACTTCAACCTTCATCTCAAACATTCACTCCAGACCCCCTTCCCATGACAGCAACCTGGTTCAGAGCTCAGCTGAGATCCCTACTGCTCCTCTGTAATTTGTCTCCCCAGCTCTATACAGCCCACTCATTCAGGATAGGCGCTGCAACGCGCGCGGCCTCGCTGGGGCTCCCCCACTCTTCGCTGCAACAGCTGGGGCGCTGGTCCTCTTCGGCCTTCTCCGCTTACATCAGGCCAGATGCGACCGCTATCATGGCAGCACAACGTCAACTGGCTTCCTCGTAAGCTCCCAGCAAAGCAAGTAAGCAACAAGATTCTGGTGGCGGCACGCACTTTCTCTTACACTCAAAAGATTCCCCTGCTGCAGCGTCTGGCTGAATATGCGCGTGCGCTCATATTCTCAGCTCGCTCAAAGATTCCTCTGCTCAGCGTCTGGCGAATGTGAGCGCGCATCTCACATTCACAGCTCGCTCAAAAACTCCCCTTGCTGCAGCGTCTGGCTGAACATGCGCGTGCGCGCATGTTCTCAGCTCGCTCAAAGATTCCTCTGCTCAGCGTCTGGCAAATGTGAGCGCGCATCTCACATTCACAGCTCGCTCAAAAACTCCCCTTGCTGCAGCGTCTGGCTGAACATGCGCGTGCGCGCATGTTCTCAGCTCGCTCATGCTCTCAGGCCCGCGCAGTGCGTCCTGCTATCACAATCGCAGGCCCGCTTTTTGGGGATCATGCACGCGAGCAAGCGCCGTGCTCAACAGCATCCCGCCCGGGCCTAGGGCGCCAAACATGCTCAATCAATAAACATGCTTAAATCTAATAAGTCTAACGCGTTTTCCTCATGGGTCTCTCCAAGGTGAATTGTTGTTATAGTCACAAGGCAGCTACAACAGTAGAAGGCTGATTGCAAATTTCACTACATCAAAAAAGTTAAAGTGTTTGTCTGGAGTTTGTCAGAAAGAGAGACAGAGAGGTTCTTGATTTGAAAAATACGACGCCTTTCTGATTGGTCTACACCTACGTTTCCTTAACACATTTAAGTGTGAATCAGAAAACAGATTATACATATACATTATTAATACACATGCACGGAGGTTTTCAGAATTATTTTCAATTTTTTTATGCACAAAAAAGCGATCGCGGCAAACCCGGAACAAGCTATTATCATGAACTGCACATTTTAGGACACATCTGCAGAGGACCTGTTTATGGATATAGGTTCAGTATATACATAAGTAATTCAGCGCGGATGTTCAGAATTCTTTGTTCAGTTTTCATGCAGTTTCAGAGCCTAATGCAGGCTTGATTCGGAGGTTCCGCAAAAACAAACAACTGAGAATGCGCAGCTACGAGCATCAGCGCCGATGATTGACAGCCCTTGGCATGACTCGATTGGTTAACCTCGACGGCATCGTGGATTCTGAGCTATAGCTAAGAGAAGGGAAGGCGGGACTTACCTGTAATATTAGAATTAATAAAATGACTTATTTTATATCAACAGGAGGAGGAGGCCAGGAGGTCAATTTAACACATTTCCTAAAATTTGTAATTCCTTTAGAGTTACAGACTCACTTTAAGTTATATCAAGTTATTAAAATAGGTTACACAAAAGTAATTCATATCTTCCTGACGACTTATGGGAGAATATGGTTACAGCCCTTTTTAATATGGAAGAACTCATTTTACAAATATATTTGTATAAAATCTCTCACAAATTTCAATATCAAACATATTTTTGTCCTACTTTTTTCCAAAAACCTCCCGTTGTGGTCCGCTGAGACAGGAATGCCAAACAGCTCTTTTGCGGGATATAAAATGCACACTCCCCTTTGCCAATACTGAGGAAATTACCCATGTCTGGTTTTTGTTTCATTTATGTCAGAGAAGCTTGTTCACCAATGAGTTATGAGTTTGAGTATTTTCACATAGAAATCTGTATCATTGTTTCATCCATGTCCAACTCACAGTTTGTGAATGGTAAAAAGTGAAATACCGGCAGTAAAGACAGAGGAACCAAGATATAAAACTTCATCAAATGTTTTGTTATGTACGTCTTAACATCTTCATCTTAATGCTCAATCCAGAAACAAGACCTTTTCTCATTCAATGTTTTAAATTGTTCCGTTGACAGTCGTAACGAATAAAATAAACAAATGAATAACTCAAATAGAGAAAACACATGATTCATTTAATGTAATATGAAATGGTACTAATCTCTTGAGTTCATGTTACCAAAAAAATCTGTTTCCGATCTCGAGAACTATTGTTACCGATGTATTACTAATTTACAGTAATAGAAGCCAATTCACCACTCCGTCATCTGGTATTTGAAGGACCGGCAGGAGGGTAATCAAGTCCAGAGCAGTGCGTGTTGGTGTGTTTCATGGTCCATTGTTGAGTTTATCCTTAAGCAAAACACAGATTCTGAAGACTTAAATCCCAGACCACCAGGACATTTTGAAACTATGTTTGTTTATACGATTGTTGCACCAAAGATTTTGCAAGTGGTTTCCATCTATTTTTGGATCGAAGCACATTCAGTGCATGGATTGGCAAAAAATGTAACAATTGTTTGCATAAAATTGATGAAATAGCTCTCAATAATAATAACAATGTTTGGAGAATGTGTTGATTATTTGGCACAAAGGTACAAATAAATCCTTCAATCGCCTCCATGGTTCTTCGGGGTCCAGCAACTCACAGGAGGCCAAAAGCTCACATCCCCTATAATAATTATGATAATAATACATTTTATTTGTGTATTTATTTGGCACTTTTCAAGGCATTCAAGGTTGCCTTACAAAGGGTGCACAGTTAAAAGCAAAACAGTTGAAGTAAAAGTAGTTAAAGGCAAAGACAGGAGAAAATGGAGAGTGAAATGTTGGGTCATAGAGAATAGGCCAGTCTGAAGTTTTAAGTACAGTATGTTGGTAGAACTGTTGATCAATCATGTAATTAATTATCAATAAAACATACATTGAGGCAACTGATCCAAACTACTTTTCTAGTCCAATATCACAACATTTTAACACAAGCTTCATGTGCTGTGCGAAAAGCCTTAAATGTCACGGTAAAGTGTGCTTTTTATAACTGAGTCAGATATACTTTGTTTTAATCTAAATATAAAACTCAAATACTACTGTTAAAACATTTGAACTATTGCATTATGCATGCGAGAATGAGTCACATTAACTGATGCAGGGGTCATCCACCTTAACGTGCCGATGATGATTTGTTTTGTTTTTTAAACTCGCACAACCTGCTCTGTGGTTGGCAATTCCATACTTGTAATGATGTGTCAGAGAACTTTCACGGCAACAAATTGGATTGAAATGTAACTTTCTCCATTCTCATGTGAAAATCAGGTACCACAGCTTCAAATATAGATAAACATAACCTTACAATGTCTTCTTTCGAGAGCTATAGGTACGTGATATGTCAGTAGCAGACCGGAGAGACTGCGTGTTGTTGTCTTTGGCCCCTGCTGAGAGGTAATTGAAGCTCTTTCTTCTCTCAAGCCTAATTTCATTACAGGTGCACTGGAGTTGGGCATTTTTGGGGAAGTGGGAGTTTTTCTTTTACAGCTACTTCAGGCGTTTTCTTGTGTTGTCACTGACATCATGTCTGGTTTTAAATTCTGACCAGAAGGCCTCGACAGCTCTGCGACCGAGAGGGGAGCATGGGCACATTCCATTTTATTTTGAAGATGTTAGGATTACATTCAGAAGTCAAGCTGGTATCTGATTGCCTTCGATAATTTTCACTGTTCTTTTTCTCAGACCATCAAAGTAGAATAAAGCTTCCTGACATTGGGTGTTAGGGAATTTTCCATGCTCTATTGTATTATTTCTTACATTGCGCTTGCCTAAAGAATCAGAGGTTATGATACTTTAATAAAGCTTTCTTTACATACATATTCCTGGAAAATTTTCATTTCCTCTATAAATTCATTCATGTCATTGATGGCCTAATAATAGTGTAGTAGCCTACATAGGATAACATATATGCAGCATAATATGAATTAATACATATTTATAGAAATATTGCATTAATTATGAGGCAGGGTGACCAATAGTGACAGATCTGCCAGCCAATCACGAGAGATTATACTTATTTGAAAGTTGTGATTTCATCCAATGGGGAGTAAGCTTCATCCAATGGGGAGTAAGCTACTAATGGGGAGTAATCCCACGTGGGCTGGCCACGTGTGATTTTTCAGCCAATCACGAGTTTGAAAGTAGTGGTATCCGCCAATGCTGAATAGTGTTCTGAAGCAGCCTGGCCAGCCGCTGCATTCATATGCTAATTAGGGCCATTAGCGCTCGGCCGGCCGCAGTGTTTTGCTGCATTCATATGCAAAGTAGGGACATTAGCATGGTACGGATGCGGCAGTTTGGAGGAGCGTGATTTCCTTCCGTTTAGGGTGACGAAAATCTAATCGCTCATACAGACTCCAAACTTTCCAGTCTTGGACGTAACAATATTTAGAAGGTTTTTTCAGAGGGATTTTTTAATAGCCTAGCCTGATTTATTCAGCTTTGAACCAAAAAAAACAGGCGGAATTGGAGTTTTTACAGATTTGTTCATTATGATTAGTCAATTGAAAAACTAAACAATATATCCAAAATCCCATCTCCTAAAATCTTAGTTACTAATATGTCAATAAAATGAAACCATACATTTTAATCTGGCGCAATCCATTATTTTTATTCTGAAATAAATATAGGCAATTTTGGCCATTTTTATGAACAACATGTCTTACTTTTTATATAGAAACATAAAATGACAGAACATTTTCTGTTCACCTGCCTTAAGCTTTTGTTAAAGCGGAGATAATACGAAGGACAAGAGGTTCCTTTTAATGTTCGTATGATTGAGGCTGGTTCGATCTACTGGACGTTTGGGTAAGGCAAGCGCACAAGTTAAAGCTGCGTAGGAACTGAACTGTATTGAACTAGATTGACCAGGGCTCGAGTCCACAGATATGTCAAAAATCCAGTTTAAGCAATAAACAATAGATATATAGACCACCTGATATCCCCACGGGCCAAGGGATGTCCACGTTAGCCTACTATTAGACTACTATTGTTAGGATTTTTATATCCAGTCACTGCATGAAAAGTTAGATTTTCGTCACCCTAAACGGCAGGAAATCACGCTCTTTATCGGGTATCTCAGGCAGTTTTCAAAAGGCGCAGTTAGGGTGCCTTGTCCTCCAAGCTGCTGCATCCGTCCACGGCCTCCGCGTTGTGTCCCACTAGCGAAGTCCGCTAAGGGACGTAGCACCATGACGTAGAATTAATAGTTACCTAATTTATGTTCTACGAATAGGTGCATAGTCCCTTAGCTACGAGCCCATCAGGCCAGCCCGGCTTGGCAGAGTTCAAGAGGGGGTGCGGCCTTGTGCAGGGGCCTTTATAGAGGAGGGTCGCTAGTGATTGGAGCAAATTATTTTGATCTCTCTGGCGTGTGACCTGGGGGTCACGTGATATCCCACTAGCGAAGTCCGCTAAGGGATACTACGCACCTATTCGTAGAACTTAAGTTACATTAGGTAACTATTAATTTCATGAGGTTCCAGCAAGATGGCGACCGCATAGGAAGACAGTAAGAAGTTAGCAGCGAAGACGCTAATACTAGCTCGTCTGATGCTAACACTATCATACATGCTCTCACTGCGGTCATAGACAGCAAATTAGCTGGAATCAAGGAACAGATTGAGAAAATTGAGACGTCTGTGTCACAGGTGATGGATAAGAAAATTACGGATATTACGCAAATGATTGAAACAAGACTGGCCTCTGTGCTTGAAGCCGTTGCTGACCGAGGATCTGAGATACAGGCCCTAGCCGCAAGAATGGATACCGCTGATAAGCTAATGGAAGGCATTGACCAGACTACAGCTGCATCCGAGGCTAAAATTGTGTATCTTGAAAAACAAATCAAGCAACTAAAAGAGCGCACCGACCAGCTTGAGAACCACTCCCGGAGGTGTAACGTCAGAATACTCGGAATAGCAGAACACGAAGAAGGGACAAACGTGGTGAAATACCTTGAGAGGTGGATTCCTGAATACCTTTATCTTGACACCGCAGACAGGAGGATTATCCTGGATCATGCTCATCGCACAATGGGCCCAATGCCGTCAAACGGTCAGAGGCCCTGCCCCATCATCGCCAAATTCCAGTCCGGGTAATGGACGCTGCGCGCAGTCACCATTTGAGCGGGGCTCCGCGTAGGTTGTCCGTAAGCGTAAAGCTCATGATGCGGTGAAGGCTCGATTCCGGGAGTTGAAGGTGGAATATGCGTTGATTTCTTTGACACATGTGAGCAAGACGAAGAGACTCAAAAAACAGCCTAAAACTAACAAAGATTTCTTGATGACATATGCCTTCACATTCACCGTTACTGTATACAAGTGCTGCTGACGGGATTGTCGTTACAATCCCGTCTGCTCTGTCCAGTGTGATGTTCCGACATCACTCTGGACAGAGCAGTCGCATTCTCTTGCTGCTCCTCGCTTGCTGCTTTTTTATCTCCTTTAATCATTTTTGCTTACATTTTTATTCCACAAAACACGGATTACTCCTTTTTACAAACTTCAACACAAGACTGGTGGAATTTACCTAACTTACAGCATGTCGGGAGGACGGGAAAAAAGAACAAAACTTTGCGACGGCTGTTTTTCACTCAAACAGGAGCTAAAACTTCTTCAAGACCGAATGTTTGTGCTTGAATCAGAATTGGGGCTGAACACAACAATACCAGTGAAAGGAAATGGACCAAATGGACAGCACGTAAGTTATGTGATGACGCTATTTCATTTCCCAAAATCAACAGAGACAATTGTTGGAACACATATGGTGCCAAGCCCAAACAAGGCAAAGCTAATGATAACAAGAGTGTCATAATGCCACAGCAAAAATCTTTAATTACAAGAAACCGCTTTTCACCACTTTTGGAAGATGAATCAGCAGTAGTCTCTCAGTCCCAGTCTCAGTCTCAGTCAAGGTCAAATGCAGCTGAGTCGCTCTTTATCGGGGATTCGGCGATAAGAAATGTAAATATGCGTAATCTCAAGGTTCACTCAGTACACTCTGCCAAAGTGGATGAGATAAGGCGGTTGGCTCCGAGGCTTCTGTCTGAGACCAGCGGGGTAAAAAGATTGTTGATCCACGTGGGGGCAGTAGACGTCTATGACAACACAAGTGAAAAGTTGAAACGGGATTACTCTCTCTTATTGGACGACCTTGCTAAAATGGACGCAACAATCGTTATCAGTGGCCCACTACCAAATGTGGACGGGAAGCAAATGAAATTCAGTCGTCTGTATCAGCTAAATACTTTCCTACTCAACGAATGTTCACGCAGAGGACTTGCCTTCATTGAGAATTTTAATCTGTTCTGGAATAGGCATGAGCTTTTTGAAGGGAAAGGGCCACATCTGAACACTTACGGAGTAAAAGTGTTGATGGATAACCTTTCTTTTGCCCTGAGACCTCAGCCTGCGCAGCGCGTGCAGCCATCGAAAGGGAGGAAGCCAACTCCAAAAGTCTCTGCACCTCCACCACCTCGAAGGATCTCAACACCACCACCACCTCGAAGGATCTCAACACCATCACCGCCTCAAAGAATCTCAACACCACCACCACCTCGAAGGATCTCAACACCTCCACTGTCATCAGAAGCAGCTGCATCATCACCAGCAGCAGCTGCATCATCACCAGTAGCAGCACCAGCAGCACGACCACCACCACCAACATCCTCATCCCCAGCCTGCTCCAAAGCAGCCACGCCTTCTTCATCTACAGCGCCTCTGAAGCCCCCATCCTCACCCCAGCCTACAGCAGACAGGCCTGTGCTGGGGTTTCCTCAACCACCTGCCCCTCCATCAAAGACTCCCTCGCCACCTCCCATGGACCTGTCTTGGGTCCCCCCTGCCACGTCCACTCCATCAAGAGAGAATGGGGACACCTCCCTTTGTTTTTCATCCCCGCCTTCACTGTTAGACCTACCTGAACACTCTGCAGGGCTAATAAAATCGGCGATGAAGACTATTCCTCTCACACCCATATTAGCTCGATCTAGAGTCCTGTCCAACATGCTAAACCACTCCCCATATGTACCTCCAAAACCACCTAGGGTTTCCAATTCACCTACAAAAACCACCTCAGCCAGTCCCTCCCCTAACCTCATGACCATTCCACCCCCACTTCCCCCTCGTTCAACATCCAAAACCTCTGCCTCAGCCCACCCCGGCCCTAACCCATCACCTAAAACCCCTCCACCTCCCTGCCCCCCTCGTTCAACACCCAAAAGCCACCCACCTCTCCATCCTCCTCCGCTGCCTTCCCCTTCCCCTCTTTTCTCTAAACACTAGGATGCACAGGGTCTCTGCTTCGCAGCCACTGGCAGTCTAGTTAGAGGAGAGACCCGGCTGGGGCCCTGTCATGAAGCCACCTGTGCCATTCCCTTAGTGATAACACAAAGAATACATTACAGAAAAACATCTGGAGTTAATCAGTCTAATCTGGAAAATCTAATTCTTGTTCCGTATAAGAATCAGCCGACCGCAACCGCTGATACTGAAACTTTGAAACTTGCTACGCTTAATGTCAGATCTCTTTGTAACAAGTCTTTTTTAATCAATAATTTTATTTGTTCTCATAATCTTGATCTTATGTTCATGGCTGAAACTTGGCTTGACCAAAATTCAGAAAATGCAGTTTTAATAGAAGCATCACCACCAAATTTCAAGTTTGAATCTGAAATACGGGAAAACAAAAAAGGAGGAGGCTTAGCTGCCATTTTTAGAGACCACTTTGTCTCCCATAGAATGTCTCTTGGGAAGTTTTCGTCATTTGAATATGTGTCTTTTAAAATACAACAAAAACAATCTCCTCCAATACTCTTCGTTGTCCTATACAAGCCTCCGCAGTCATGTCACAGTTTTATTGATAATTTTACCGAGTTGCTTTCAGTTGTATGCACAGATTTTGATAGTTTGGTTATTACAGGTGATTTTAATATTCATGTGGATAATGTTGATGACAGAAATGCAAATGAGCTGAGTTCTGTACTTGAATCCTTTGATCTCACTCAGCATGTAAGTGGCCCCACCCACAGCAGAGGGCACACTCTAGATCTGTTAGTTACAAAGGGGGTGATTATTTCAAATGTAAACGTGGTCGATGTTGCTCTTTCGGATCATTTCTGTGTTTTTTTTGACATGTGTTTCACTAACAAACCACCAGTGGACTCTGCAACTGTTCGAAGAAGGCGCATAAATGAAAATACGAGTGAACTATTTATGGAAATGATAAACTTTGAGAATGCATCGTATTCTACTGTAGATGAACTGTTTAACTCTGTCACCTCTAGTGTTTTGAATGTTCTGGATACCGTTGCCCCTGTGAAGGTTAAAATAGTGAAAAATAAGCAGAAGGCGCCGTGGGCTAAAGCAGACTCGGTCAGGGCACAAAAGAGAAAGTGCCGGAGGGCCGAGCGGAAGTGGCGCAAGTCCAACCTCCAGGTAGATTACGAGATCTTCAAAGATAAGTTGTGCGAGTTTAACCGGGTGCTACGTAGTACGAGAGAAAGGTATTTTTCTGAAATGATTGAAGGCTGCAGCAACAATCTGCGTGTTCTGTTTTCAACAGTTAATAGATTAACAAACCCCCCTGTTCAAATGCCATTAGAGCTAACTTCCAAACGTAAATGCAATGAGTTTGCACATTTTTTCAATGACAAGGTTCAAGGCATCAAAAACGCCATTGTCTCCAATCCACAGATAACAATCCAACAGCCAGAAAGGCTCTCTGAGCTAACTCACTTTGCACCTGTAAATGATAAAACTGTCCAAGAGATAATCTCCAGTTTGAGCTCCTCCACATGCAGCTTGGATGTACTACCCACTAGATTTCTGAAGTCTGTTCTGAGCAGTCTGTTACCTTCACTCACACAGATAGTAAACATGTCCCTTCATTCTGGAATATTCCCAAAGGCCCTGAAAACTGCAGTCATCAGGCCCCTGCTAAAAAAGAGCAGTCTCGATGCTACGGTACTTAACAACTATCGTCCCATCTCAAATCTGCCATTTATGGGGAAAGTCCTTGAGAAAGTTGTCTACCTACAGCTTACTAGATTTCTTATAATCAACAACTCATTTGATATGTTCAATCTCTACATGCTGCCGTTAGGTCAGTTAATACGCAGAAACAAAGTGTCCTATCATAACTATGCAGACGACACTCAGATCTATGTCTCACTGACTGCAGGAGAACATGGACCAGTGGACTCACTCCTTCACTGTATCCAACAGATCAGTGAGTGGATGCAAAACAACTTCCTTCAGCTAAACGCAGACAAAACTGAAATGATTGTCTTTGGTCCCCAGAAACAAAGAGAGAGCGTCATCTGTCACCTACAGTCTCTCTCCCTAAAACCTTCAAACAAGGTCAGAAATCTAGGGGTAATACTGGACTCAGACTTAAATTTTAATAGCCACATCAAATCAGTAACATCAGCAGCTTTTTACCATCTAAAAAACATTGCCAGGATCAAAAACATAGTGTCTAAAGCAGACCTGGAGATTCTTATCCATGCATTTGTCTCCAGTAGGTTAGACTACTGCAATGGCCTGCTCACAGGTCTGTCCAAACAGGCTGTAAAACAGCTGCAGTACATTCAAAATGCAGCAGCTCGAGTTCTGACTAGAACCAGGAAGTACGACCACATTAGTCCAGTTCTCAGGTCTCTGCACTGGCTTCCTGTGGCTCAAAGAATAGACTTTAAAACAGCTCTGCTTGTGTACAAATCTCTCCATAGCCTCGCACCAAAATATATTAGTGACATGTTAGTCCCATATGAACCAGCCCGGACTCTGAGGAGCACAGGGACTGGACTCCTGTTGGTGCCCAGAGTCAGAACTAAACATGGTGAGGCTGCTTTTCAGATTCATGCTGCTAAAATCTGGAACAGTCTTCCTGAAGATGTGAGACAGGCCTCCTCTCTGACAATGTTTAAAACCAGGTTAAAGACAGTTCTGTTTAACTGTGCATACAACTGAGGGATTTTATATTTCTATCTTTCTTTTTAATGTTCTGTGATAATTTATGATTTTAATGCTTTCTTGTTTTGTTCAGCACTTTGAATTGCCTTGTGTATGAATTGTGCTATATAAATAAACTTGCCTTGCCTTGCCTTGCCTTGCCTATTATCCATGGAAAAAGGAAATCTTTCTGGCCTGCAAGGGAAGTCCCTGGATGAAATTCAGATTGAAGGTGAGTACTTCAATGTATGTAACCTTAATTTAATATGCTTAATTCAGAGAATCAGGCGTTGTTCTGTCCCATCTTTGATTCATTCAGTAAAGTGTGCCTGTTGCTTTTGTCTGATTCCCTTTTTGTCAAGATGAGATATCATTCAGTGACACTGAAGCTAAGGACAGTGGCAGTGACTCTGAGGACAGCAGCACAGAGGCTAAGGAACCACAACTTGAGGACATGGAAAGTCTGGGTCAATCCTCAGGCTGTCCCATCGTGGAGCTGTCGCAGAACTCTGAGGACTTCAGTAAGTAATATGTTTGTACTGGGTGCTCTCTCAGCATCTTGGGCAACAGCAGCTAGTGACAGGTTCTATAGACAATACACTCCTGATGAGTCCTATTTTGTTTTCATTAGAAATACTATCTGAAGTGACATCCACAGCAGGAGGCACTACACCTCAGTCTGAAGGTAAGACCAGTGTTTGGGTATTTGATAATGCTAAGATATGCAATGACTTTAGACCTCCAGAAGAATGTGAGGAAATGAAGTGAAATGAATAGAAAATGGAGTAGAAAATCTATTTTTGATTTTCCAGTTTTGGAGGTTCCATTCAATATGAGCAGACATGCCTCTGCAACATTGAACATCTGGGCAGTTCCTCTAGATTGGCAGACCAAGGTGGGGTCCCCTCTTAAAGAGAGGGGTGTGTTCTAAATACAGAGGACACTCCTCAGCTTCCAGAGGTCCTGGAGAGGAGGATACACTATATGTATCCAAAAGGCGGGGGCTGGGTCGCTGGGGTTCTTATAGGTCCTTGTGCCTAAGGGATGTCAACTTTTTTAATTTTTTTATTGCCTTAACTTTTATTATATACTATGGTCATTCCCCTTGCTTGACCCCCAATAACCTTTGCTTTCTGTGAAGAGCTCTTCCTTTAGTAGGAAATAACCTGTAGCATCAATTGGACTTGACTTGCGTTTCCTTTAACAGCTTCTAATTTTTATTTTCCCTCTTACATTTCTTTTAGGAGAAAATGCAGTTCAAGAGTCTAAAGCAAGAAGACTCCCAAAAAGAATGTGGTCAAAAGCTGAGGTTGCTGCAGTGATACGACATTTTGGAAATCACATTTCCAAAGGAAAACTTGCCTCCAAAGCTGAATGCAGCCAATGCAAAATGGCAGAAGACCCTGTGTTGTCACAAAGAACAGAACAGAATATAAGAGACTTTGTGAGAAACCGAATAACCACAACCCAGAGGGAAGCCAGAAAACTCTAAAACAAAACAATGATGCTGATGGATCTAAAGCACAATTTGCTTCTATTTCATTTCTTCTGTTATTGCAGCCTAACTCACTTGGTAATATCCTTTTATTTGGATTGTGCAGTATTGTTTATATGGTTCAAGTTATATTTTATAACCAGCTGGCTGCTGTTGAACACAGCCATGTTTTGTTTGTTGGAAGTCTATACTAAGAGATCAAAGTGACACCACCATCATGTTCATTTTCCTTTGAGTTAAACAATTTAAGTTTTACCTTTCCCCTGTTCATCCAGCCGTTCTGAGTCTGGCGACCCCCTTGTGGCTTCAGTTTAGCATGAATCATTGAATCTGATTGGACAGTCACATCCTAATGCTAATTGTGATTGTTCTTTTTTTTTTTTTTTCATACTTTATTGTGTCATCTTCATTAGTTCACACTGTTTTCTTAATACATACAGCTTAACCAGACACATTTTAATTTCTTTTTTGTTTTTTTTCCCCTTTTTTTTACCCCACTATGCTCCCCTTGTGTCAAAAAAAAGATAAAACAAAACAAAGCAAAACAAATACAGAGAAAGTATGTATATATACACAACACTAAAATATATATATACCAAAAAAAATAAGAGTATTTTATTTACTTTAATATCGTTTTAACAATAGATGGTTATTCTTATGGCTATATGTTAAATAGTTTTGATGTTATATTAAGTATACAGAATGTGTAGTCAGTCTTCCTGTGTCCATTTTTGTTGAATTTATATATACATACACACCCGCACAGATACTCGTTTGCACACCTATATACTCATGTACATACATATACGCACACATGCATACGTCCACATACAAATTGCGATTGTTCTAATCTGATTCAATGATTCTTGCAAAACTAAAGCCATAATTGTGGTCACACAGCTGGTAGAGAAGATACAGAAGCAGATAACTGTTTACCTAGGGAGGTGGAGACTGGGCATATATTCCCAAAAGGTGCTGTTTTTATTTAGAGCTGATGTTCTAAATAAAAAGGATACTTTTGTTTATCGTTCATGGTCTGTGTTTGTTTCTTAGGCACTGAAGTCAATGTTGAAGCACTATTTCAATTCTCTCTTTTGCGTTTGTCATACAAAAATACCAAAGACTTCAGTGGATTATGATTTACAACCTCTGAATGATATGGTTTGGTTGTGTCCCCCAGATGCATGGTGGTGTCTGGCAGAATCAGAATCAGAATCAGAATCATTTTTATTGCCAACGTAAGTAACGGGAGGTCACAGACTTGGAAATTGCTTTGGCTCAGTGCAACAGTCAAAAAGAGATAATAAAAATAAGAATAAAAAACACTTCTAAAGAATAAATTTAAATTTAAAATAGAGTTACAGTTACTATTTACAATATACAAGTGCACATGGTGCACACAATGTAAGGTGACAGCAGTACAGTGAAGTAAAGTGACGTATGATGGGCAGTAAAGTGACTTTATAAAGGGCGGGGGGACAGGTTAAGAAGTGTTCAAGAGTCCAACAGCAGAGGGGAAGAAACTGTTCTTGTGGCGGGAGGTTCTAGTCCTGATGGACCGCAGCCTCCTGCCTGAGGGGAGTGGTTGGAATAGTCCATGTGCAGGGTGAGAGGGGTCGGCTGTGATACGACCAGTCCGGCCTCGAGCTCGGGCGACGTACAGGTCCTGCAGCGATGGAAGGCTGCGGCCGATCACTTCCTCTGCAGAGCGCACAATGCGCTGTAGTCTCTGTTTGTCCCTGACTGTGGCTCCAGCGAACCACACGGTGATGGAGGAGGTGAGGATGGACTCGATGATGGCCGTGTAGAACTGCACCAACATCTGTGCAGGCAGCTTGGCTTTCCTGAGCTGCCGCAGGAAGTACATCCTCTGCTGGGCCTTCTTGATGAGGGAGCTGATGGTCGGCTCCCACTTGAGGTCCTGGGTGATGGTGGTGCCCAGGAAACGGAAGGACTCCACAGAGGTGATGGGGGAGTCCATCACGGAGGGTGGGGGCGGGGGGACAGTGCTCTTCCTGAAGTCCACAATCATCTCCACTGTCTTCTGGGCGTTCAGCTCCAGGTTGTTACCACTGCACCAGGACACCAGCCGGTCCACCTCCCTCCTGTAGGCGGACTCATCGTTGTTGGAGATGAGTCCAATGAGGGTGGTGTCGTCCACGAACTTGATCAGCTTCACGGAGTCGTGGCTGGAGGTGCAGTGGTTGGTGTACAGGGAGAAGAGCAGGGGAGAAAGAACACAGCCCTGTGGGGCTCCTGTATTTATAATCCGAGAGTCCGAGACATTCTTCCCCAGACGCACTCGCTGCTTCCTGTCCGTCAGGAAGTCAGTGATCCACCTGCAGGTGGAATCGGGCACGTTGAGCTGGGAGAGCTTGTCCTGGAGCAGGGATGGCAGGATTGTGTTGAAGGCAGAGCTGAAGTCCACGAACAGGACCCTGGCGTAGGTCCCCGGGGAGTCCAGGTGCTGTAGGATGTGGTGGAGGGCCAGGTTAATGGCGTCGTCTACAGATCTGTTGGCTCTGTAGGCGAACTGCAGGGGGTCCAGGAGGGGGGAGGTGAGGGACTTGAGATGGGAGAGAACCAGGCGTTCAAATGACTTCATGACGACAGACGTAAGTGCTACAGGTCTGTAGTCATTGAGTCCTGTGATCCTGGGCTTCTTCGGGACGGGGACAATGATGGAGGATTTGAAGCAGGCCGGGACATGGCAGGACTGCAGAGAGGAGTTGAAAATGTCCGTGAACACAGGAGTAAGCTCACTGGCGCAGTGTCTCAGAGTGGCCGGAGACACGTGGTCCGGGCCAGGAGCTTTGCGGGGGTGCAGCCTCAGGAAGAGTTGTTTAATCTCTTTAGCGGCTATTGTTAGGCTGGGGGCAGGGCTGATGGGTGGGTCGTTAGAGTAGTGGGGGGTGGGGGAGGGAGAGGTGTCAGGGGCAGCATCAAAGCGACTGAAAAATAAGTTCAGATCGTCAGCTAGCTTGTGGTCATCAGCACAGGGGGGGGCTTTGGGTTTGTAGTTGGTGATCTCCCGTAGGCCCCTCCAGACAGAAGCAGTATCGTTGTTACCAAACTGCTCCTGTAGTCGTTCTCTGTGCCGGGACTTGGCTGCTTTCAGTTCTTTCCTGAACTGATATTTAGCTGCTTTGTAGCCGCTGCGGTCCCCCTCCCTGAAAGCAGACTCCTTTGCTTTCCTGAGCTGCCGGAGTTTAGCAGTGAACCAGGGTTTGTCGTTGTTATAGATGACCCTGGTCCTTGTTGGAATGATGCTATCCTCACAGAAGTGGATGTATGACGTCACAGTGTCCGTATATTCATCCAAGCTGTCTGTGGCAGCTCTGAAAAGGTCCCAGTCTGTAGATTCCATGCATGCGCGCAGCTCTTCCACAGCTTCATCAGACCACACTTTGGAGCTCCTCACTGCAGGTTTCGAGAGCTTTAGTCTCTGTCTGTAAGCAGGAACCAGATGTATCATGGAGTGATCTGAGAAGCCGAGGGCTGGCTTGGGAACAGCGCGAAAAGCTCCGCGCACGGTGGTGTAACAGTGATCCAGAGTGTTCTCCTCTCTGGTTGGGCATTTGATAAACTGTCTGTATTTGGGTAATTCCTGGCTCAAGTTTCCCTTATTAAAATCCCCCAGGATAATAATCAGAGAGTCCGGGTATAAGCGTTCCATACACAGTACTTGCTCTGCGAGTGCGCGCTGAGCCTCGCGCGCGTCCGCGCATGGCGGTATGTAAACAGAGGCAAGAATGAATGAAACAATTTCCCGCGGGGAGTAATATGGTTTACAATGAATGAAAAGATATTCCAGAGCAGGAGAGCAGTGCTTGGAGATCACTGTCACATCGTTACACCAGTTTGTATTGACGTAGAAACAGAGCCCTCCGCCTCTGCTCTTCCCTGAGAGCGCACAATGGCGATCCGCGCGAAACAGCCCAAAGCCCTGCAGCTCCAGAGCGCAGTCCGGGATCCGCTCATTTAGCCAGGTCTCAGTGAAGCAGAGGACACAGGATGTGGCGAAGT